TATACATACATACATACTTGGATTTAACTACTACTTTCAAGTACAAGGAACTCAAAATACGAAGAACCTGTGTTTCAACTATTGGTATTCCCTCACAAATTCAGAAAAACAGGCTTTATATACACTGTAAGTAAGTACAGAATGTACAGAAGACAGTTATATATACAAAAGTGCATTAATATAGTAATACATTTAGCAGGAATACAGGAACAATCCTGGCTAATGATCTGATAATTACAGTATTTAAGACTATTTGAAGATTCTCCAAACCACTCAACTTCCTACTTGCTTTGGTTATGATACTGATGCTACATAACTAATCTTTGAAACTAAAAAACAAACACAAAAAAGCCTCCTATGATTTGAAATTTTTAACCATCTTTGAAATGTTTTACCTATTACTCATGTTTATAGTTAGTATCGCTTGACAACAGTCCTATTAGATTTGCAACGCAAAGGTTTAGAATGGATAGTATTTGTATCTAAATAAAAGTACACAGGAAATTAAATTCATCCACTACATGAACAGACATTATTTGCTCCATTCTTAAAAGCCTCAGCTAGATAACCTAGTCCAAAGTCTCAATTTTAATCCAATAGGTCACTACCATAAAAGAGTAAGAAGCTCTACAAAACAAGTCATGGCTACAGGCCACTGTTTCTTGAAACAATTCAGAATAGTAAGCATTAATTTGCATTTATAGGTTAATTTTATGATTACCTTTACATAGTCAAAATGTATGTGCATAATTAAGCAATTTTCCCTTTTTTACCCCTATCCGTCACCACAAAGAGACCATACATTTCCAAAGGCTCCACTGACAATAAAGTTGTAACAGAAGAAACCTGACAATAAAGGAAAAGAAAAAAATGTGAGAGAATGAAAAGATGAAAATAAAGTGTTTGTAGATGGGGAGGGGAGGAGGGGGTGAAGGGAGGGCAGAGGTAAGGGGAAAAAATGAGAATCAAGACTTGTCATGTAGAGGTACAAGATCCCAACAATGAATGTAACTGTACTGTATCCCTAAAATGTACCAATAAACTCAATTAAAGCTGAAAAAAAAAAGAAAAAGTATTACACATATTGAATTCAGCAAAGACCAACCAATGCTTCTGAGTCTGGCATGAACATTAAATTAAAATGTAATTTAATCTTTAAAAGATAGAGGGAGCTGTAAACAAATATAGTACTTTTGATATTTAAAAATGAAAATAAAATTTTAGTCACTCAATTCAGATCTTCAGCTATACCATACAACTTCCTTACTCTTAATTGCCAGTTAGGTGGTCCTTCCATGCTTTTTCAATTAAGTAAATTATTTTACAAAGAAATAAGACAAAAATTCTAAGGAATATGATCCAGATACTACACTAACAGAGATGCCTCACTCAAAATATCTCTCGGTGGTTCTTACCTACTTTTACTATATCTTCATTTTTAAGATAACATTTATCTTAGCTCATCTGACTTAAAACTAATCCAAAGTTACCACAATACATGTGTAGACAAATATTTCCTAACAGTCCTTTTCAGGATTAAATTTACCTCTAATTAGACATGTTGAGTACCAACTCAACACTACTATTGAATGCAACTGGAAATTTTACTATCAAATATCCCAAGCTATAAACTGACTTTAAGTAGCCCCCCATCAATTCCAAACAAGCATCTTCTTGAAGACTGAGGAGCTAAAAGATTATTAAAACAATGGTATGCAAATGAAATTCAAGGTCTGAAGGTTTTTCTTTTGATCTATACTCTATTACTCTTAATAGTTTTGTTTAGTGATATCCAAACACCATAGGCATTCTACAAAACAAATTATAACATTCTGATTATTTTTGCACTTTGAAAAGCCTGATATTCACAAAAAAAAGTAGAGTTCACCAGCATTAAGGCACATGAGGCTACAAAGAGTCTACTAGAAAACGCAAAACAAACCAAACTTCTACATTGTTTATGTACTAACATTTTTGGCTTAAATACAAAGATATCTGATAAATTTCACAATTTTTAAAGCTCATCAGAATCTAGATACCTTTATACAATAGTTTCTTGTAATTTTACCTTTAGGAAGGGATTCAGCACTTTCAAAAGCTAAACGAAATGAGGTGTCCACTCAATCTACAAAGAGTCACTATTTTATATGTCAGTTTGGGGATTAATGTACCAGTGTCTAATTTACCCAAGAGATGAATGAACTGGACTAAATGGCTGCCATTAAACAAGTTTTATTTTTTAACTGTTACTTTAAGTTCTTGTTGAAATCAAAGAAACTAGCCCTTTATATACCCCAATACACATTATAGTACACTGCCTTCCTTTAATCAGTTGCAAAACTGTAGAAAAATACATGCCAGTTTAACTTGAGGTTCATACTTTTAAAAGCTGTGGTAGGGACATTCTATTAAAATACCTCTAGTAAAAGGTCTCTAGATAAAACTATGGGGACTTTATCATGATTTCAGTTAATAATATTTATTTTTAAAGAAGAGACTTATTTGCCCCAATGTTAGTTCTATACAGATGGGAATCAACACAGGACAAATAACTCTTTATTTTTTGTTAATTGGTTAATTTTGCATTTCTATCTAAGAAGAAAAATTAATAAATTGGACTTGTTTCAAATGGACTCAGATATCTATCAGACTGAATAAATTAGTACTTAATCCAAAAATGATCATTTAAGTTTGAATTATTTTCATGAGTCATTAATACACATAAAAATCACAACAAGACAAAAGTTGCTTTTGTCTTTTGTGCTAGTCGCTTTGCTGGAGGGATAAAGACTTTTAAATCTCTCTCTTAGAGCATAAGCAAGCCCAAGTTGTTTGATTTTATTCTTTTAACCAAAAGAATGTTTGTCAATCTCTTCCAAATTAATTTTATAGGCTGGCTCTAATTTACAGAACTGTACAAATAGTGGACAGGGCCGGGGATTTAGCTCAGTGGCACCACACCTGCCTTGGAAGCGCAAGGTCCTGAGTTCAGTCCTCGGTACCAAAAAAACCAAAAAAAAAAAAAAAAAAAAAAAAAAAAAAAAAAAAAAAAAAAAAACAGTGGACCCAAATTTACACAAAATTTCATGATGCACTTCTATGAACAATAGAACCTTTACCAACTTCAAAATCCACTTTGTGGCACTTTGGAAAAATTGGTCAATAGTGACTGAAATTGAATCTAAGGTAATAAGACTGTGTGATTGTTGAGAGAATAGAGGAATAGATTTTTTTTTTTTTGGTACCAGAGATCGAACTCAGGTCCTTGTGCTTGTGAGGCAGGTGACAGCACCACTGAGCTAAATCCCCGGCCTGGAATTGATTTTAAATTACAGTACATTATGATCCTGTTTAAGATTTCCTTTTACTGATCAGTGTCACCTAAATAGTTTGCAAGTATGTGAGAGATAAAAATGCTATGCTGCAGTCCCTGAATGTGGCCTATTTTACCTAAAGAATAGATAAAGAGAAGAGGCAATGATTCTGTGGGATTTTGCTTTTTCTAAAAGCAGGTAGAGAATTCAGACGTATCTTTTCTTTTCTCCTTTGTTCTTGCTATATTGAAAAGGGAAAATGAAGTTGACCCTTTCTGCCTTCTTCTGTGTATTCTGGGGTCTATCCCAAATTCTTTTTCAGCCCTCTGAGGTGGCCAGGATTAGCAAAGAGGGTACAGCAGGAAAGTCAAAAAGACTAGTCCAGTTGAAAAATGCAAATACACACATTTTTACTTTAGTAAAATTTTAAATTCTGGCTTTAAAAGTCTTCGAGGGTTACAGTCATACCACAAACCTCGGCAAAGCTGCAACGCCTCAGTTTCAGTCCTTAAACCTCCAAGGAAATGAAATGAAATCAAAATTTCCAAATACTTGATTGTAAGCAAACTTTAAACCTTTCTATCAAATAAAAGTTTAAATTGTTAATATTTTTAATATGCTAATGTTTTTAAAAAGTATAAATCCCATTAACTTCTAGACTCTAGAATTTTAAAAAGTACTGATTACGACTCTTTCTACAGAACCATGATTATCTCCTAAATGTTATCTCATAATAAAAAGAAAATTATGAATGTCAGAAAGCAGCTTGATTGTCAGTAGTATCAATTTACATCTTCTTCAACCCATGTGAATGTTCAAAGACATGTGGTAGAAGAAAAGGAATCACTCTATTTCTAAATTAACAAACTAAAAACATTTAATGAAACTCCACAATTTCACATTTAAATCCTGAGTTTCATCAACAACTCATCAGCTAAGTTCTTCTGTATCTCTTGCTGCTCTGTATACTTAGAGCAATTAATAGAGATGTTTAGCAGAATGCTAAAGGACTGTCATCAGTTAATTTTGAACGTTAAACTCTTCATATCCCTAAAACTGTTATACCAAATATTTAAAAATTAAAGCTGTGCTGGATACAAAAAGATCTACAAAATGGAGGGAGGGAGAGAGAGAGGGAAGGAGCTTGAAGTCTTCTGTCTTTGAGACATTTTACAGCCTAAAATTTCAGAAAGCAATGGAAGAGCAGAATTGACCTGCCTAAATGATTTCTCTATTTGAATAGAATTCAACATAGCATCAAGTCTAAAATTTAACTACTAGTGATATTATTTTCTCAGTAGTCATCACTTACAGAAAGGAGTGATTTTACATAATGTTTTTAAAAATCTAACTGGAAAAAGATTGCTCCCTGTTCTTATACCACAGAATTAATAATGAATGAAAACAGAACTAAACCTAATGAAGGCACTATTGTAAACAGTAATCCATATCTGCACACATACAACCCTCATCTTTGCCTCAAGAAAGATTTCTACCAAGTGAGAATTATTCTATGTTCCGTTAGAAAAAGTAAACTAAGAAACTGTAACATTAAGAGAATGGAATTATGATCTTTACACACATACACATATACTGACACAATAAACTATGTCAGCAGTACCTTGAATATCTCCTAAACTGTAGAAGTAATAGATTTTTAAAAAGCCCATTTAATCACCATAAAGTTTCAACAGCCAAAACATTTACTTAAACCAGTAGTTCTTAAGCCAGAATGTGCATCAGAATAACCTGGCACTGGTTAACAAAAAATACTGGGTTCTTCCCCTTGTGTTTTTGATTCACTAGGTTTAGAGTGGGTCCCAAGAGTACACACTCCTAATAATTTCTCATGTGAGGCAGAAGTTGCAGGTCCTCTGAGAACCACTTGCCTAAATAATTAATGGTACATCAGCACAGCCCTAACCAAAATTTTGGTCAAGATGCATGTAAACCAATAAGGATAGAATAATGCTTAGAAAGAATGGAAACAAATTCATTCTGATTACATCAAAACATCCACATCTGCTTCATGGTCTTCCTCAGTCACTTTCAAGGACAGCACCTCTTCATTGAGAAAGAGCCCGCTGAGCCTCTCCTTCCGGGCCTGCCTCTGTTCCTTCAGCTGCCTCTTACGGAAGGCTTTCTGCTGTAATTTCCGCTGCTTGGATCGCTTCTGTCAAAGTAAAAAGTTCTAGATCAGTAAAGCTTATTCTTGCTATATCTACACCAAAATGCTTTATGGATCAAATTCTCTATTTTCTAAATTTGAAAACCTGTTCAAATTCTTCTACAGTATGATTCTTATAACAATAAGTGAGTCACTGACTTTAATTTGAAAATGATTAAGATTCTATTTTTATGATATTTAAGCAGTGATTCTTCTGACCACGAAGAATCATTTTAACTAGCTATGGATAACTCTCTGATCCCACTGAAGTCTTATTTGATTAAACCAAATTAAGGTACACGGATGTCAATGCATAATGAAAATAAATTTAAGAGGACAATATGGAATACAAAATTTAGAAGTTAATGCCCAAATCTCATACTTATTTTAGTACCCAAAAGTAATAGTGATTTTAAAATGACTTAGAAAAAGGCATGCCTTTTTCATTAGAATCTTAGCAGATGCTTCAGTCCTCATCACTAGTGAATTGAGGAATAACCACGTAGCCAGAGAAATCCCTTGGCAACCAACAAAGCTGGCTATGCTTCTGCTGCTAAGACCCAGGGAAGGAAATCACTGTGTATCTTCAAGGCACTACTGCTTTCCCAAAGAGATTCTCTTTTCTTCTTTAACTCGCTCCACACTGAGCCAATATAAGGAACAGAAATGTTGTATATACATTGTAACTTCTTTTTTTTTTAAAGTACCCTATATTATACAGAATGTTTTTCAACTGTGACAAAAATAGAAATTACAGAATGCATTGTCACTTTCTAAATTAGGTAAGAAGCACCATTCAAGATGAAAACATCTGAAAACACTTATCGCACACAAAAGACACACGACATTTTAGCAGCTACCAGACAGCAACATGAGCAAAACAGTGAGATACACTTAGTAATGAGTTTCGGTCAATATTGTTATTTTGAGAACTGCTCATTAAAACAGACACAAAAATCAGACAAAACTGAATGCAATATTGTTGTGGGTCAAGAGTACACTTCAAAGCTCTCTGTCTAGGGTACTTCCTTCTTCAGCACAGCATCCTGCTTGTTCAATTAAACCCAACACCCACAGGCATCTGAATAGCCTGACAACTTTTATTCTTCAAGAAATTTAAATGAAAGAGTATAAATATTAATATTGAAAGATAAAGCTTTATATTGATCAGACATTTTACTTTTGAATCCCGAATCCGCTCTGCGGCACTTGCAGACAGGTTGCTGTCACTGTGTGCTCGACTCATGTTGGCACTGGAGTTTGAAGCAGAGTTTCCAACACTGGACCCGCTGCTGCTTGCGGAGCTGACCATGCTGGCACTGCTGCTGCTGGCACTAGCACTAGCACCGCTCACTCCACTGGTGCTTGCACAGCTGAAGTTGCTTCTCTTCCAGGCCTCTCTTGCAGGCCGCTGGCGAAGGCTATGCTCCTTGATATAATTCCTGACCTTGGAACACATGGACAAAAACTGGTTACTATTTTACCTTGATGCTCTACAGCCTTAAGACGGAAAACAAAAAACAAACTTGCCCTCAACCCCAAAAACTGCATCAAAAGTGATGCAGATGTATAAACAAGGTTGAATACAAAGGCCAAAGAAATCTAAATTTAGAAACAAACACCACAGGAACCTTCAAAACTTAATGACCATTAAGAAAAGAACATGTGAAAATAGAAACTAACAACAAAATAAAACAGTTAAAATTAAGTACTTGTTAGCAGTCTCTAAAGATGATTTAAGTAAATTACTAATTATATCTATGATTGGATATTTTTCCTAAATTTCAATTAGGAGCTAATGGTACTTGTCTTCAAATGCAAACCGTCAACATACCACATTAATGAAAAAATGCACTGACATGTAGAAAACTACAATCTACGTATGTTGAGAATACTGAAATCAGAGAAATTTTTCATAAATGATAAATGTAAAAGAAAGCTAAAGTAGAACATAAAATCTTAAGTATTCATTTAGGTATGTACCAAGAAAAAGACAGCAGCAAAGGCCATATTTAGAAAATATCAGAAATACATATTTCAGAATGGCAGAGGGAGAATTCATTAGGATTAAACCTAGCCAGCCTCAAGTACGTCATAAAACTAATAAAATAACCTCAGATGTTTATAAAAATATAGTTCTAATTTATTAGTACAGTACTTCAATTCTTTCAATTCATCTTTTGTTAAGTTCATAAGAATTAATCTGTATTGTAATTTTACCATTCCTTAAGTGATTAATTTTCAAAACCTATACAACTGAAAAGCAGGTTCTAGATCCACACTGACCAGAAAGGAAAAACTTAAAACAATGGATTCTCAAATATTACCTTCATTTTCATTTCCTTCCTTCCTCCTATCTTTCTTTCTTTCTTTTCTTTCTTTCCTTCCTTCCTTCCTCCTTCCTTCCTTCCTTCCTTCCTTGTGTTGTTCGTAGGCAAACCTAGGGCCTCATGAATGTGAGGTAAATGTTCTACCACTGAGTTACATCCCCAGGCCCACTGTCATTTTTTCAAATATTATATTTACAACAGTGATTTTACTCTAGTTCTCTATGTAGCATTCAAGTTTACATTCTATAAGATACTGACATTTATCAATAGGTATACAATCTATATTTACTTTACATACCTGCTTTAGTTTTTCATCTGTGAGACAGTTAAGTTCAATAATAAACTCACTGTCTGTAGGGGAGATTTGAGCAGAAGGATCAATGATTTTAATAATATCAAGTTGCTCCCGAAGACCCATCTCAGTACTGACTTTACGACTTAGATACTCAATATATTCCACCTATGTGATAAAAAAGTATAACAAAAACATCAATGCTAAATAAAAACTCTAATCTTCTACTATGTAGATTATAATGTATTTTATTTATCAGAGGCACTTAACATTGTTATCTGTTTCTTAAAAAAGTTAAAGCTCAAAAAAAAAAAAAAACAAGTTCAACCTCAAGTTCAGAATTACTAAGCAATCCACATTTAGTCAGTGAATTTAAACAGGCAATAAAATGTGCTTCACATATGCCCCACAAATTCCTTTTTGGTTGGTGGGGGTTGGGGATCAAACCCAGGGCTTGGTACATGCTAGGCAAATGCTCTACACTAAGCTACATCCTCAACCCCCACAGATAGTTTTTTATTAAGAATGTAGACATCAGGCCGGAGATTTAGCTCAGCGGTTCGGTGGCCTGCCTTGCAAACACAAGGACCCGAGTTCAATCCCTGATATCAAAAAAAAAAGAAAAAGAAAAAACAAAGATGTAGACACATCTTTACCTGCTCATCATTTGTCATTGCACTCCAAGGAAGCTCATCTAAATTCTGATGCTTGTTTTTCTTTTTAGGAAGCAGGCAAGGTGAACTTGGTATACTTGGTATGACATCAGAAAGTACATCACTGCCACTGGCAATGTCACTGCCTGGCAACTTTATAAAAATAGGGAGAAAAAAGAGTAGGGAAAGCAAAATTTTTAAAAATACATTTTAAATACCACAACACATTTCACACATTGATTAAAAGTTACTTTAAAACTGATGAAAAATACAAAATCAGAGGGTATTAATTCTGATCCATGCCTATTTTATATAAAGCAGCATCAATATTTTCTTTGTATATATTCACTTACTCAATAACAGATGTTTTCCAAGAGCTTAAAATAAAAATCAAGACTTTTTGTAGTATTAGAGATTGGAACCCAGAGCTTTTGTACTGAATTACATCCCCAGCCTTTTTTTTAAGTTTTTATTTTTTATTAGTACATGTTACATTATACAATGTTTACATTCCTTGTGGGGAGTTGGTACATGACATAATACATCTCAATCCTTTTCTTATTCCCTTTCCCTTCCCGCCTGGTGCCCTCCCTCCATCTCTTGATCCTCTTCCCATTTGAACAAAATCTATCTCCCTACAACTTATCATCTACCTTTTGTTTTGTTGTTTATTTATATTTTGGGTTTCTCACATAAGAAAAATCTTGTCGTATTTAAACTTGTGTCTGATTAATTTTTGAAACAGGGTCTCACTAAGTCACCAAGATGCTAAGTTGCCCAGTCTGGGCTAGAACTTGTGTTCTTCCTGCCTCAGCTTCCCAGAGAGCTGGGATTAGAGCCATGTACCACCCATGCTGAGCTAAAATCAAGATTTGTTAAAATGCCACTTAAGAGATAAATGTCATTAAAGTTTTAATTTTTAGCGCCGATGTTGCCAGGACACACAGAACATAATGACAAAGTACTGGTCTCTAGGATTGAGTGATCTGCCACTAACTGGCTCTTTGACACTGCGCTAGATATACTGCCAACCTAAAGACAAATCATGGTACTTGTTTTCAAGTTCATATTAATCTCAAAACAATTACAATAATTTAAAATATCCTGTTGATATAAAACACTTTAAAGAGGGCTGGGGATTTAGCTCAGTGGTTCCACCACCTGCATCGCAAGCACAAGGACCAGAGTTCAATCCCCGGTACCAAAAACTAAATAAATACATAAAACACTTTAAAGAGCAGAAAGATTACAAAAGAAAATTCAAAGAACAGAATATAAAGCATAGACAAAGAAGAAATAAAAAGAAGCCTAACAGAAAATCAAATCAGATCAAAATGAGACAAACACCAATACATGCCATTTTATACTGCCTACTAAAAAAGAAAGTTGATTTGATTTTCAAAAGCTTTATTGATATATATTTGAGGGCTGGGGGTTATTTAGCTTAGTGGTCCCGCCACCTGCTTCTCAAGCGCAAGGTCCCGAGTTCGATCCCTAGTACCAAAAAAAAAAAAAAAACCAACAAAAAAAACCAAAAACAAAAACAAAAGCTTAATTGATACATACTTGACAAACAAAAACCCCACATATTTAATGTATGCAAGTGGATCTATTTGGACATATGGATAGACCTGTGAATCTACAACCACAATTAAAGTGAGGAGCACAGCCATCATCTCCAAAAATTAGAATGGACTGTAATTTAAATAAATGTATTAAGATAATAATTATAATGTAAAATCTTTTCTTCTAAAGGAGCACAAAACAACCTTCAAAGATACAGCTTCCTTGTTTGTCTTGATTACTTTTTTGTCATTGAGAAAGGTTTATTTTAGCTTGCAGCTTGTAGAGGTTTCATTCCATAGTGTGGCTCCAACGCAGGGCAGTATGGCTGAGGAGTATGGCCAAGGAGGAACTGCTCATGGTATGGTGGCCAGAAGCAGAAAGAAAGATCAAGGGAGAAGGGAGGGAGATAGACCAGGTCATGCCCACAGCGCTCCATCTCCCCAGACGATACCTAACCTCCCAACGTCACATCCAGCCATAAACTAGTCAGTGGACTGATCCACAGATGAGTATCATGCCCCATGATCCAATCACCTCCCAAAAGCTACAGCTATGAATGCATTTTATGTATTGTTCAGATCCAAGGTACTTGGCATCTTTTTAATGCTAATCTTTTCAGCAACCAAGCTCTCCTCTGCTCTATCCTTACAGGTCCCAACTGTATAGAAGCTTCCTTTCTGACCAAAAATCAAAACTGTTTAAATCATTCTGCTGGGCTGTTTGCTCTTAATACTCAATGTAGAACTGGCTAAAAGCCTTCAACAGTCAATACCCAAGCCACAGCCTGAATATTTAGCTGCCTTGAAATTTCCTCCACCAGATTAGTCTTCCACTCTTTATCTCAGTCTCCCATAAAGTCTCAGGACTTATGCAAAACACACACACATTTTCTGCCAGAACAGAAGACACATGGTCTGGAGTCCAACTGCCAATGGAGTCCATCCCAACTGAAATCTCTTATGCTTGGTCTTAATTGACTGTATTACTATCAACATTCTGGTTCTCTGAGCTCCAACCAGAATCTCCCATCAGACTCAGCGCTCAACACTGTAGGGCTACTTCTCCAGGTGGCATTTCCAAATGTTTCCAAACTGCTCCTGTAAGCCAGTTCCAAAGGCTTCTGAACCACATGGTCAGGCAGCATCACAGCAATGGCCCCTTTTCTCTGCTACCAAAATCTGTCACAGTTATATTCTCGTCGCTGAAACACGATATCCAACACCCAAGACTTAAAGGAGGAAAGGTCTATTTTAGCTCACATTTTGTAGGTTTCAGCCCATAGTAGGCTGGCTCCAAGGCAAGGTGGCATGGCAGAGGGCTATGTCAGGAAAACTGTTCAGAGAATGGCACACAGGAAGCAGAGAGAGATCAAGAGAGAAGGGAAGGAAATACAACCTTCCAGGATATGCCCCCAGTAACCTACCTCCTCTGACCAGGCTTCACCTCTAACATCACATTTAGCTATAAACTAACCAATGGACTAATCCACTGGAGAGTATCATGTACACCATGATCCAATCACCTCCCAAAAGCCCCAGTTGTGAGTGCCTAAGGCTTTGGAGGGACATCTAGATATAAACCAAAACAATATTTATGGAGCATAAAGCAGTACCTTTTTGTTGTTTTTGCTCTAATGTAGCTCACAACTATATTTGAACTCTGGACAATTTTGAGGCTTTAGAAGTTGACTTTAACTTTAAAAGTCACTGAAAGGCAACAGCTACTAGTCATTAAAATTTTTGAAATCATATACAAATCTGAAGTCCTATTGTATACAGAGCTCTAAAATGAGGTCAAAGAAGTGTAACTCATTGGCCTTACATAAAAACTTGATATTCCACCTGGGAAAGTAACAACTATACACACATACTATTATGTAATATAGTACATGACAAATGCTAGGTCTGAGATGACAGGTCATCAATAGAAGTATTTAGCAATGGGTTAAAGCTGCAGGATTAAAGTATGAGAGAACTACAGCAATTACATGTAGGCACTAGGGAGTCAATAGTATAGAAGAGATCAGTACCATAAAAACAGGATCAATCACTATGTGAGATGACCATAAATTCAGAATTAAATTGTCTGTTAGAGATCATTATTTCCACATTCCTACAAGTAGCTACTACCTTCAAAATTTCATCTCCACTGTGGCAGTCATTGATGAATCCAAGTGTGAAAGTAACTCCTAAAAATCTGTATGATTTCTTTTAAAATCTCACTAACTTGATGCTACTTGAATTGTTCATTCTTAGCCCTAACATTATTGAGTTAGCATTATGTAAGTATCATTGCCAGATGTACACTTGAAAGTCATCATTTTTCCAGCTTTTGATAGCAGGAAAAAAAGAAAGGAAAAGAAAATGTTCTGCTATTTTTCTGTTACTATGATCTAGAGGCCCTGGATTCAATCTCCAGTATAACCAAAACAAAAACAAAAATAAAAATAACATATACTTTCAAAATTTAAGAAAAATATTCATCAAAATCTTTAGAGATATTCTTTAGAAAATATCTGTTAGACACTAAGCTACATGCTAGCCATTTAAATGTGTATCTTTAGTTCTGGAAGAGTTAGGGGACAAAAAAAAAGGTAATGGTCTTTGTCTACTTTTTCTGGGAAAAACAAAAAAGAATCAGAGTTCTTAGTAAAAAGCAGACAATGGTCACTGATTTTAAAAGACTAATAAAAGGTATATAAATGAGGTAACACATTTTTCTCTTTCTCATCCCTTGCCATGGATCTGAATCTTAAAAAAAAAAAATGTAGCATAAACCTTTAGAGAATGTCAAATGGTGGAAAACTGGCTGGGTTAAATTTTCATAAGGTAGTGTTTCAAAACGACAAAAGGGAGGCCGGGCGTGGTGGTGCATGCTTGTAATCCCAGCATTTGGGAGGCTGAGGCAGGAGGATCACTGTGAGTTTGAGACCAGCCTGTACTACATAGTGAGTTCCAGGTCAGTCTCAACTACATGGTGAGACCCTGTCTCAAAAAACAAACAAACAAAAAATGACAAAAAGGGAAAACTTAAGGCATTCAAGTAAGGAGAATAATTTAGTAAATCACAGATGAAAAAACAGCATAAAGTAGAAAACAACATAATTAAAACAGAACATCCGTGGTAGGGTTTTAAAAGCTTCTGTAGTGCAAGAGAAACCACCAACAGAGCTAAGACAGAACCTACAATGTGGGCAAAAATTTGTACCAGCTGTTCCTCAGACAAAGGACCACTATCGAGAATATATAAAGAAGTAAAAAAAATCAGACCCCCCCCAAATATAAAGACCCAATCCAAAAATGGGCATCTGAAATGAACAGACAGTTCTCAGACAAACAAGTAAAAGCAGCAAATAAATATATGAAAAAATGTTCCACATCACTGATCATTCGAGAGATGCAGATGAAAACAACACTGAGATTTCCACCTCACCCCAGAAAGAATGACTGCTGACAAGAAATCAACCAATAACAAATGTTGGCGGGACTTTAGGGAGAAAGGAATCCTTTTCCATTGTTGGTGGGAATGCAGACTGGTGCAACTACTGTAGAAATCAATATGGAGATACCTCAAAAAACTAGGATTAG